CCCAGTTTTCGCTTGTTACTTTCTTTTATTCAAATTTGTTTTAAAATTTTATTTACGTTAAACTTATGAAATTATTTAAAAAATAATATTGTATAGTACACTAAAGAATCAAAAAACCGGTACACCTGTCTAATAAGTGTAGGGTCCCTGCGAATACGCAGAAGTGCCGCAACACGTGACATGGGCTCGACTAGTGTCTGAAGAATTACTGGAGGTAATTGACACCATGGTTCCTGCACGGCTATCCAAAAAGTCGTAAGAGTACGAGGGGGTGGAGATCTCTTCTGAACAGCACGTTGTTCACAGTCCGACGGGATGCTCAATGGACATTAATGAGTACATGTGATTAGACAGGAAGCTTACTTACGCGTCACCTGTCATAGACGTATCAGAGGCCCCAAATCACTGAACTGCACACGTCCCATACCAGGGGCTTCTCCTGCTCACCATGGTACACAAGTGGATTGAAGTAATTGCTGAGGGAAGTCTAAAAACTCTCAATGACTATAAAAAAGCACATTTAGTTGCAGATTAAACTAAGTTTTCAGATATTCAGAAGTGTAAAAAGAAAGCTAGACAAGACTACTGAACATATAAATGTGACTGAGAGAAATGTATAATAAAATATTAAATCTTTTTGGAAATTTGTAAATAATTCAAGCGAAATAGTTATGATGGATTATGGACATTAATCAGCAAATTTCCCTCCGGTAATTGTTAATTTGTTTGCAAAGTATTTTGAGTCCAATCAATTTGAATCATTGATTGATCTAGATCTGGATGTTAATGAATACAATGTCAATATTGGGTGCCTATCTGAACTTCAGATTTTTGGTTCAAGTGTGAAATTATAGGATTACATGAATAGAGATAGTTAGATAAGATTCCAGCTAATTTTGTTAATTTAACTCTGATGCTTCACTGTCTCTTTTCTAAATCACTTCAGGAGGATTCCCTCCCAGATTTGTGGGAAAGATTTTTCTTAACACTTAACTTTAAATCCACGCATTGATTGAATATTGAAAATTACAGACCAACATCCACACTTAGTATCACACCTAAGTGTTTTGATGAAAAACATGAGTACAGAAAAAAGTACACGATTGATTTATTTCTTTTTAAGAATTTTGTCATAGATAAAATGAATTGATTTTTACTTTTCAAAAGTATTTAACATTGTTAACCATAGACTGCTGATAGACAAATTAATTATGATTGGTAAACATATTGTTTTTGGAAATGGTTGTGATTATCTCGTTGGTAGTATTAAACATATCAAGTTCAAATCTTTTATATGGCAGTCAATTTGGTGTCTTCGGGTGTTCAACAAGGTTCCCTCTTACAGTCATTATTGTTTTTTAATTTTTGTTTTCTTATGTATTAATAACATGAAGTTATTAGTACATAATTGTGAATTCCTTCTATTTGCTGATGATCTGAAGTTATGCAGTGTGACTTGGGGGTGGTAGGAATTGGGGTTGGAATTACTGTAGTGGGTTTCACTTTAATTTAAATCTTCTAGTTACTGCTGTGAAAAGAATGATGTATGCTTAAATATTAATAAATGTATGACTATTACATTTTTGAGAACACAAAATCAAATTGACTTTAACAATAAAATTAAACATCTAGTGTTAGACAAAATGGTTCATTTTAAAGATATAGGTGTCATATTCGACTCAAAATTGCAATTTGATTTACGCAACTAATTAGTTTTATTCAAGGCCAATTGAATGCTGGGTTTTATAAAACGTATGGCCACTGAATTTCAATATTTTCACTTGTGTAGAATGGAATTTAATACTTGTTCAACCAGTTATATGCTTCAACTGTATGAATATCTTACTATAAAATTTAAAGAAAAACAACAAGAAACAAACTAGATTCTGTTCAACACAAGTTTTTTAAATTTTGTGACATGGAAAATCAATTTATCCTCTCCCTACCTAACTTATAATTACAGTCAAGTACTAGCTACTACTTACTCAGTACTTGCTATTAGTATACTTCTCACAGAATGTATACTGATTTGTTATTCTTGTAAATTTATGTAACAATAACATTGATAATATTCGACTCTTCTCTGAAAAATGTTTGTATTATCGTTATTGGCATCAAATGTGTATCAAACGCTCCAATTGTAGGAATATGGTTAGGCAAATGTGTTAAAAATTGACTTATCAACTTCTGTCTGCAAATTCAAATCACTAGCAAAAAGTAAAGTATTTAAAGATTTTTGTTAATAAATTGCAATATTTTTTTAAAATTGTTTATTGGATTCGTATTGAATGACTAACTATACATAAATAAATAAGAATTAATTTTTTTTAAGCCGTTGTTTTAACAGCTCCCTATCTTTGTAGGTAAGATAGCATTATCAGCTTTCAAAGATTAAACTGATGAATGAAGCCTGGAAATTTGGCAAAATGTTATTTTTTTATTGTTACAATTTTACAACTTTTAATAAGAGGAATCACATAATTGTACTTCTTAAGTTGTTTAGATTTTCATTTTACATATTTTTACCATTTTGTCTTATTTTTTTGCCTTGTTCTGACTTTTACGTCATTATTTTGCTTCTTTCACTTTTGAATAAGATCTCCCATCCCTTTTATGGGCAGTTTTTGTGTATAATATTTCCTTCTCATTGCTGGTAATTACACGAGTGTGAAGAATAAAACATATAATTCTATTTTCACTGATATTTCAAAATTCAAAAGGGGGAATATGGATTCGAAGAGATAAACAGATTTGTAGCCATCAATTAGCGTTAAGATTACAAAGAAATTATTGTTTTACTGCTTGTTAATTTTAGAGTTAGAATAAACATGTAAATTATTTTACTTATTAATTTTTTGCAATAATTCTTTTTAAATGTGATTTTTCTTTGTGTATGTGCCTTTTTGTTCCCTTACTTTAGCTAGAATAAATGCCTTTTTGTCTGCCTATTTTAGGTTAAATAAAAGCCTGAACTTCCAGGCTCTACTGATGAGACTGTGCTTGTAAAAATGATGTAGTTATGCCAGTGGCGTATTATGGTGAATAAACAAGTCAACAGGTATGAAAGAGATGTGAGATTTTCCCCAGAGCAAAATAAGAAAAACAAAATAAAATCACCTGTGAGCAAGACTATGATAAAATGTTAAAAAATATAGATGTAACAACTTAACACGTCAGTTTTACTTTACAGTTTTAGTACTATCGTACCTTACGCAAATTTCTCCAAATTGAAACATATTCCTAGGATCTCACAGTTCCCAGTGTGTAGTTTGTGTTCCAAAATATATACATGCAAAATCAAACACTTTTTTATTATTATACGGTCCTCAATTTTTTTCATTTGACTATCTTAACAATATATTATCAAGTGGTGGAATTGTAAAAGAAATTCAACGATTGTGGTCACACGTGCTCATCCTGTCAGAAGCCCTCAATGACGCCGGCGTGGAGGCCGGGAATTTGTGAAGGTTAAAGTAGCATCAATAGCAAATTCCTTGTTATAAAGAAGGTCGGTTCGCTTTCTTAATATTAGTTTGTAACATTTGGATGTAATAACTACATTAAATATACAAGAGTATTGTACCAGTGACACTGCAAATAACGCGAAAAAGTACTGCACCGGTCTGCACTACAATCCATTGACCGGTCCGCAATGTTACAGAGTCCTCCGATAGGTGGCAGGTGCTTACGCACTGCGACATAGCCGCCGCCAGCCAGTGTGTGGTGTTACCAGTAGCCCAGCATTTGTGTCCTCTTGTCAGGTGAGTTTGCTTCTAACAGGTTCTTTGTGTGAATGTTAATAGTGAATAGTATGAACTCAAGGACACGTAAGCCCAATAACTGGTTTTAATTTTTGACCCTGCTGAAAATTTGTTAGGAATGTGCTAGAAATGTCTTTGTGTTGTTAGTCTTCGAAGCTCGCCATTTTCTCGTATGACATCATGCGTTATAGTTTCTGTGCTCTTTTATGAAAATAAAAACGCTAATATCAGGCTTGAAGGTATTTTTGTTAAAAATTTGATATTTATTGATCTGTCAAGTGTTTCTTCATTTGCGTTCTGTGGTTCTCCAGGTCGCTAACATCAACTAGCATGGTCCATTGATAAATGGACCAACGTCCTTATGGTGTCTGAAATTGTAATGGAAGATCGAGATTCGTAAGTACATTGCTACTTTTTCACGGAATGAATGATACTTCTGTCATTGTCATCTTGTATCCGTTTTTCTTTTCATTTGTTACTGCCCGAAGTACTCAACAGATTCAATGCCAAGTGCCAAAAACTGCCATGCCTTTTTCTAGTTTTTTAATATCGGCTTGTTTTTTTAGCCGTGTATTCTTGTCATTTCAGTGCGTTTTGGATGCTAGTGTTATTGCCCGTCTTTTCTTGTGTCCATTGATACTCTTGTTTTAACATGGTTAGATGTTTCTATTTATGGAGATGACTTGTGATTTCTTGCGAAAATTATGGACCTACTGTCATCTGGCGAAGTTCTTCCCGACGAAACAAACGCATGTAGAAGCTTGTGCGATTTCATGACTTTGACTGGCAGATCAATATTTACAGTTCTTAGATTTATTACATGTTTGACTTTTGAAGGTATATAAGAAAGTGATGGATTGGCAGGCTATTAGTAAGAGAGATAAAAGGCAACTTCCCTATTTTCTACAAATGTTGTATCACTGTAACACAATTTGAGTAAGTCCAGAAAGTTTGAACAGTTGAGTGAATTCTTATATCTTGTCTGATTAAGAGAATTTTGGTTTATAAAATTTTGTGTATTATGCTGTTTGTTGCAAAACGTTACAGTATGTGATTTGCCACACTGTTTTCACTATTCTCAAACACTCTTTCTTCAAATAGATTAAGCTTGTACCACAAAACATTTTAAAGCCCAATGAGCTGACCATGTAATGTCAGCTGTTACTGTTACCAAAAAATTGTTTTCAAATTTTTTGAGAAAAAAGTGTGTGTCAATATTTTTTATTCCTTAGTTTGTTATTCCTCACAGTTACATTCAGAATGTCTTCATGCTTCTAACCGTGATAAAGGGTACTTTTTATTTCATGCAGGAAAGTAAATTGCTGTTCCAATTTTACATAAGCATTTATTTCATTGTAGTACCAATTATTCAGTCTTCTCTATTAATAGCTGCAGAGTAAGTATGAGTGTTCAGTGTTTGTGACAAGGAAATAAAGTGTCTACATTTGGAGAAACGGTTAGCACATGATTTCTACATTTCATTTCTGTTCCTCGTGTAATCTGCAGTGTTTTAATATTTTACTTTAAAGTTTTGTCAGCAAGGTGTCAAACAATCATGGACACTTTTATGCTTAAAAATAATCAAAATATTGCTGAGAAAGAAAGGGCTGGAAATTGAAGAAGAAATGTATGTATATTTTAGACAAAGTTCCGTAAATATGTTTTTATAGATGTAGTGCGTATGGTTGACACCAATAAAAATGCATATGTGATTGACTAATTATTTTTTCAATTTGAAAGAGCAGTTCAATTTTTTTGAATATTTAAATCTTTATTGTCAAAAGCATACACATTCTGCCACTTATAAAAAAATAATTTATTACTAACAAATGTAGCTTTTGAATTTTTGAAAGGTGGCAATTCTTTGGATGAAATGTCCTGGTAGAGTTGACATAGAATGCAGTTCATAATTCAACTTAATTTTTTTAAAAAATGAGGTCAGACTCCAGAGCTCAACAAAACTTGCACAGATTGTTTTTCTCCTCCATATGGTACAGACAATTTTTTAATTATAAATATATAAATATATTTTTTTAAATAATCTAGGAGTGACTGTGAGAAGAGTTCAAATATTACAACATACAGCTACTCAAAACAAAGTTTAGTAACTGCTCAGTAAAGTTTTTGAATTGAATGGTTTAATAAGAAGGAAAAACTTTTTGATCTGTCATTAAATGAAAATTCCTTGACTGTTTTGAATATTTATATTTTGATACGTATTATATGTACTTTATTGATATCTATTTTCACATTACATATAGTTTTCTTTCTATTAAAGACGTATGAAAAAAATAAAAATGTGAATAAGAGTAAGATATGTTCAACATGCATTTCTGTTGCTCAACATTATTTTCATAGTGTAATTATTTATTGGTATTGCCAGAAAATGTTTAATGCATTGTGTTTGCCTAAAGTAATTTGCATACCTTATAAACATGAATCTATTATATTGCAAGTGGAATTGGGTAAATATCCTTTCATGTAAAAAAGGCGAAGGAAGGATCTTGTTTACAGTGAAACCTCTCAGAAAAACCATCCACCAACAACGACCGATTTTCCTTGCCTATGCAAACGCTTTTGTTATATATACATCATACACTTGTTAGAACTACTTTTCTCCCTTCGACCGTCTCGATAAAAGCAATTTTCTTAATTTATATCTTCTAAGAGACCACTTTACGGAAAATTGTAAGCATATTCTGTACATCAAATTTTCCACATGTTAATTAAAGCTTCAATCCTTCAGGAAAACGGAGGTCCGGGGACAGAGTAACAATAAACAGACATCACTGATATGGTATCTTGGCTGCTCGCTACATTTCAATTTCATTTCTTTAAATGCGGGTATGATACGGGGATGAACGAACGTTCAATTCTTTGAATTATCTGAGCTTTCCGTATCTGTCGTTCTTGGAAAAACATTCGTATTGTAGAATATCTATGCCGGAAGTCAGGGTTATCGACTTGCTCTTTTAACATTCGATTATGTGGAAAGCGGCCGGAATTTTTTTTAATTGTGCGTCAAAGTACGAGAAAAACGGGTTTTTGACCTTCTAAAAGCATTGAAATATGTTTGTTAGAATGATATATTCATTTTTCTAACCCCGCAATTCTAGTAGATTAAGTCTAAATCTCCGGCGTGTAATAATATACCATGCTTTTGAAAAAAGAAAGAAAAAAAATCCCGATTAAGCAACCACCCTCCAACAAACCACTTTTTGATGGAACCATAGCTTTATACAGATTTCACTGTATTTTATAGGATGCCATCGACAACTCTCCTACGTGTGCTGCAACTGAATAGGGATTACCTAATAAGGATCATCAAATGATTTTATGACGAAAAATTAAAATTTTTGTAGATTCTTACAACAGCAGGCGCGCAAACAACCCGCAACACACCTACGCTTCTACGAGTCACCTACGACCTTACAGTCGTGTACGACTCGGAAATGATGCGCCCTAGTTTACAACTGTGAGGCACGAGTTGATTCTTAAGCACTTGGGATTTTTAGGGTTATGGGAATCCCTTTTTGGGAACCCCTTTTGGGAATCCCTTTTTGGGATTTTTAGTGTTATGTGTTTAATGTTATGCGTGCACATTTGAGATATGTCGAACTTGGTGTCATGTCAAAAAAATAGAGTACTGTCTTCTTTTTCCGTTAACCTGCATTTTCTGGTTGACATGCTCTGGACGTCGATGGCACCTGTACCTGAAATTCCCCCTCCACCCGGCAAGTGCCTAGTGTTATTGGTGTATTGATCATACTAGCTGGCGGGTGTAGATAACAATTCTCTATTCAAAGGTCTTCGAGTAAACATACCAACGCATCATAACAGTTGCCTTATCGATTTCCTTATCTGGTAGAACCCTTTGACTTTGTTGATACTATTGTCTTGACCAAATTGTTTACTATGATCATTCAGGTAGTCGATATAATTGACCACATGGTTATTGAAAAATCGTAGAGCCTAGCAATGATGGAAGTTCTAATGTAGAGTTTTGTAGAGCGTACAACTAGATAGCGCAATCTAATGTGCAACAGCTTGCTCATTAGCATTTAATATGCTATTTCCCAATGTTATCGTTGTGACGATACTTTCACGGATTTCCGTAATGTCATGCTTACGTTTATGTTCTGAATAGACTCTAGCTAGCCGACACTAGCTAGGCCGCCGTCTGGAGGGGGCTTCTAGCGGCCAGCTGCTCTGATCGGTAGTTTTCCGAAGTTTCTTCGATCAAATCCAGGCGAATGCGGAAGCAGTTTTCTGGCAAACGGGCCACGACCGCGCGCAATATTTCTTTCCTCTTCCGTGTCCCCTTAGTCACACTCCGTTACACTTCAATGCACCAAAGTACCACGCCGGGAGCTTAGAGCTTGTCCCGGCTGGGGCTGTGTCAAGTTGGTGAGAGATACCTGGATGGGGATAACTCAAGCCGATGTGTCGGCGCCGGATCTCAACATCTAGCGGAGGAAGAAGATTGCCACCTCGTGATGAAAGCATGCACTACACTTACTACACTAATGACGGCAGTAGTTGACGCGCGTGGTAATACGAAATAATAGTAACGCCAGAGAGCACTGGTATTGCAAAAATCCCAGTATAGGACGTTGTGTTTCATTGTGCACTCTGAATTTGCTTCAGGAATGGCACACTATATCGTTATAATTTGAAATAAATTTATTGTACATATATTGTATAAGCTAAAGGACCGGGTAAATTCCGTGGAATATCGTACTTCAATATTTCCGTACCGCCTAGCGTAACATTTGAGTTCGCGTTTTGTGCATAGGCTCCCAACTTCGCGCGTAACGTAGCGTACTTATTTCACAAAGTGTAAAAACATCTCACTGTAAAAACTCACGTAGTTGTACGATTTTCCAAAAATATCCATTCCCTACCAGGACGATAGTTTTCTCTCACAATATGCATTGCCAAGTACTATGACTAGACTAGTGAACTTCGATATCTACTGATGTTTATTGACGTTTGAAGGG